AGATTTCCAAAACTTTATTTAACCTTTTTTTGTACTGAAGGTCTGCTGCTCAGTTTTTGTAAGATATATATCTTTTAACTTATCACAGTCTACTTTCATGTAATATTATACTGCCGTGTATAGTGTAAGAACCTTACACTAGTATACGTCTATTTCCTGCCTTTGTGTCATTGCCATACATTTTACCTTTCCATGTGTTATAAATTTCACAAATGTCATCATTATTTTTTCTTTTCACTTATATATTAAGCAGATTACCAAAAAATAAGAAATAGCAGTTTCTTATATTTATTCATGTATTTTGGATGTTCTTCATTCCTTTGAGCAGTTCCAGATTTCCTCGTGGTATCCTTTTCTTTTACAGACAGACTTCACTTAACCTTTTTTTATATACTGAAGGTCTGCTGCTCAGTGTTTGTTATTTGTAGAAGTCTTTATTTTTCTTTTCTTTTTGAAACATTTTACTGCATTTAAAACCTTTATTTGACAAATTTTTCTTTCTAGTACTTAAACGTTGTCATTTCATTGTGTTTTCTGGCTTGTATAATTTCTGTTGATAAGTTCACTTTAATTCTTCGTACTTTATTTTTCTTATATACTTTAGCATATAATCTGCTTTCACCTACCTCTCTTTTTAAATTTAAATTTTTAGTTTTTTAATTCTTCCTCTGTTACTTCTAAGATTTTCTCTTTTTTAAAAAAATTTGATTATAATGTGTGTATGGCTTCTTTTTGCTTATTCTTTTTGGACTTGTTGAGCTTGCATCTGTGTGTTTATAATTTTCATCAAGTTTGGATGAAATTCAGCCATTATTTCTCCCATTGCTTTTTTCGGCTTATTTCTCTCTTGTTTCCTTCTGATACTCCAATTACACGTTAGACTGCTTGATACTGTCTCACAGGTCACATTAATTTATATACTCCTAATACATGAACAACTGAGAAAGAAAAGATTAACCTATAGAGAAATGGAAAAGTAAAGAGAGACCTCAAAAGAAATGTAAATGACTCTTAACCATAGCAACAGCTGCTAAAATTACACCGAGATAACTTTTTCCCACTTATTATATTGGCAAAAACTGCAAAAATATGAAAATTCTGATGGGAGAACAGGTAATGTCATGCTGAAGGAAATTTAAAATGATATAGTCCCTACTGAGTGGAGTTTGGAAGTACCTGCCAAATTGACATATTGATTTGCATTTTGAGCCAGCAATCCTAAGAATCTATCCAGGAAACCATTGCATATATACAGAAACTATATATATGTAAGACTTTCTAACGCGTGTTTCTTAGAAAGTGTAAAAAACCCAAATGTTAATCAGTAAAGCTCTGATTAAAATATGGTAGGGGCATGTATTTAATAAAATTACTGTGCAGTTGAAGAAAGGAATGGGGAGAATCCACGTCTGCTCTTAGGTATAGCAGATACAGGAATTCTCCTATTTCTCATGATTTCCACCAACTTCTTCCTCCAAATGTATTTATTCCAGTTACAATAGATTGCTTAAGAATTTCTAGGATACTTGTCACTAAAAGAACTGTAGTGGTTGCTAACAAAATTTTGGAGGGAAGTTGTGATTCATCAAGTAATCCCTATACTAAAAGATGCCTGGAATGTTAGATACATACTGTATCCACAGGGATACTATGTGTGATGAATAGGTTCCCAGGTTAGTGGATAACAGTGTTGCCATGGGAAAGAGCATTCAGAATTTTAACTGGAGATGTCACAGTTCATCTCCCAGTTAATCTCCAAGATGATTTGTCTCATCTTGGCAATACATTCATTCTTTTATGAAACACTGAGTGTTTTGTTTTGTTTCTTCCTTTTTTCTTTTAATGTGCTTGTAAGGGAGTCTATGTATGTTGAGGGGGTAGGAGGAGGGAAAGTTAGTGTTGTGGGGCTGGGTCTCAGAAAATGAAAACAAAGATAAGTAAAATAGCATCCCAGTGCTCTGGGAGTTCATGGTTATCTGCCTCAACTTTACTTTCTGTTTACACTAATCTGTGATAATTTAAGAATTCTAACTTTAAGCTAATGATGTTGGATCCTATTGTGAGGGATTTTTGTGTCCATATGCTGGAGAATGAGTGATGATTGCTTTCACAGAGTAGAAGACTAGAGATGAGACCATTCTTTATTGTTTTCCAGGTCTTATACTTTTGCCTCCCCTACTGTTCATGAAATGATTGACCTCCTCCCACTTCTTTAAGGAAATTCTTGATTTAAAATGCCTTGTGTGCTCTTTTATCCTTTCTGTTCTAGGACCTCTATCACGTATTTTTATAATTGTAGTTTTATACATTTTAATGTTAACTAGAGCATTTGGTCATATCTCTCCTTTTTAAAAGTAATTTTATTGATTATCTTATATATTTATTCTTCCAGATCATGGACCCCTACTTTCCAAATAAATTTCATCATGATTTTGATCGGAATTTTAATTTATGTGTTAAGATGTTTTTGGTATCTTCACAATACTAGGATTTTTTTTTTTTTCTTTTTTTTTTTTTTTTTTTTTTTTTTTTTTTTTTTTTTTTTTTTTTTTTTTTTTTTTTTTTTTTTTTTGGTTGAAACGGAGTCTCACTCTATTGCCAGGTTGGGAGTACAGTGGCGGGATCCCAGCTCACTGCAACTTCTGTTTTCCGGTTTCAAGTAATTCTCCTGCCTCAGCCTCCCAAGTAGCTGAGACTACAGGCACGTGCCACCACACCCAGCTAATTTTATTTTGTATTTTTGGTAGAGACGGGGTTTCACCATGTTGGCCAGAATGGTCTCAATCTCTTGACCTCGTGATCCTCCTGCCTTGACCTCCCAAAGTGTTGGGATTACAGGTGTGAGCCACGGCGCCCGGCCAATACTAGGATTTTCTTAATTTAAGAGTAGGTTTTAATTTGTATTCAGTAAAGTTTTATAGCTTTTTCATACACGTACTCTGTTTTTTAGTTTATTTTTATGGTTGTTACTAAAAAGTTTGTAACTGGCTGTTAATGTTACTTTGGGAAATTTTCACATATTTACTGAAAAAAAATCTTAACTCATAATTCTAAAATATTTTTGTTTTTTACAAAAATAACCTCTTCTAAAATGATGTTAATTTTGCCGCCTTTCTAATGTTAAAATCTCCTATTCTTCTTACCTACTTTTGTCAACTAGCACTTCAGAATGATATTAATAATTATGTTGATGGTGGACATCAATGCCTTGAGACTGATTTTACTTTTAAATTTTGCTGGTATATTGTCATTAAACATGATATTGTCTATTGATTTGAGAAAGTTTTTGAAAAAGTCCTAAGAGAGATTTTTTTTTTTTAAATGAGGACTAATTTCTTAACACTTTAATGCCCCGTACTAGATTTCTTTCATTGACTCTGTTTCCGCCTAGGATACATCATATTTCGTAGGATGAAATTGCCTACTATGTTGTTTAATCTTTTCACTTTAGTTCCCTGCTCCTGTACTCTGCATTGCTATACCCAGGTTCTTCCCAAAAAGAATTTTGATCGTTTTGCTCTTGTCCCAAGGAATTGTATAGCATTGTAACATCTTTTAAAGCTATGGAGTGAGTCCAAACCTCTTGCGTTATCAATTATTTATGTTCCGTCTGTGCCTTTCCAGTCGTCACCTCTTCAAAAACTGTGATGGCTTTGAGATCACACCCCACTTGCAAGCTAACATGTCAGCTTGTGTATCCTGGGAAAAGATACTAGTTTCCTGGGTTAGTTAGAGTCAAGAACATTTTAAACTCATAGCAATAACAGTAGCTACAGAATCATAATTTTGTACTATTTCCCCGAGCCCCATTCTTAACAGGTTGATATTACAAGAGCCAGGCGACACCCATATAAGCAGCCTGTTGCATTTCAGGGGAAGAACTCTGAATCTTAACCTGCTTGCTCCTTTCATTTGCCCTTTCCATTTCTGTCCTCAGACTTCTTCTCCTTGTCATTCTGATGTTGTAAGACTCCATCTCAGACAGATGCTTTCTTCCATGTCTTCCATTGTAGACCTTGTCTTTGAATATGCTGCTTATCAAGCTTGGTACCCTTTCAGTATGTTCCTTCTATCTGCAGATATTCCAGTGCACCTTCCTGGTTTGCACAGTGGCTTCAGTGTTTTCTCTCTGCAGAGGTTTTTTTTTTTTTTTTTTTTTTTTTAATTCCTGTTGTCTTCACTGACATACTGTCATACTGTGCTGTGATCAGTGCCTTAGTGTCTCTGCAGAGAGGTGGGTTTGTGTGTGTGTGTGTGTGTGTGTGTGTGTGTGTGTGTGTGTGTGTGT